CCATGGTGATGGTGTGAGTCACCATAAAAGCCGATGGTCGCTCTGCGCTCGTATTAATCGGCCGTGGCATCAGAATAAATGCCGAATATTATCGCAAGGTTGGCACTTAAAAAATACCAAAGTGTCGATCACCTCAAGTAAGCGCTTTGCCGAGAAAGGGCCAAAATACCGCAGAACAACATTCGAGTAGTGTGTGACGGTTTCATCGGCCGTTTGAAGGCCATAATTCGTCCCAAAGGTGACCAGTTCGAACAAATCTAAACTTATTCTAAAATTTGATGCTATTTCCGATATTTTTTGCTTTCGTTCAATAAAATTTAAAAATTATGGCGTTTGACTTTGTTGCAGTTTTTTATACCCTCCACCATACTATGGAGGGTATATTAAGTTTGTCATTCCGTTTGTAACACCTCGAAATATACATTTTAGACCCCACAAAGTATATATATATTCTCGATCAGCATTCTATGTCGATTTGGCGATGTCCGTCTGTGGAAATCAGTCTAGCTTCCCAACGAAATGAAGTAGGTTAATAAAATTTTATGTGTGTATTATGTGTATTATGTCTTCAGGACTTATGGTATTGAAAATGAGCCATGTAGGCCATTATTTACCGGAATTGTTTCGAAATTGGTATTTAAAGTTCGAATAGCCCCCATATAACGGTGCCTCCCGATATTCGGTATTTTGATGATTTTAGCGATATTATTTACCGGAATGGTTTCAAATTTCGCAATGGATACTACAGCCTATGACTGAAAATTGTCTGTGTAGGCCCACGTCTTCGTATAGCCCCCATAACGGAACCCCCGACATTCGGTATTTTGATGATTTTAGCTACATTTTAAACAGATTTTTTTTTTTTTGAATATTGTTATAGTTTGTGACGAAAGTTGCCTTTGCAGGTTCACCTCGTCGTATAGACCCTAATATACGGCTACATTTGGTATTTTTAAGATTTTAACAGAATTTTTAACGGATTTTATTTTTTTTAAATTGCCAAATTTGTACCAAATGCTGGAGGGTATTCAAATTTCGGCCCCACCGAACTTACAGCTTTTTTTACTTGTTTTTGTGCATTTCCAAGTACATACATTGACAGTTTTTCTAAATTTGGGTTAGGCGACATTTATGATCTATATTTACGATTACCCAAAATAAACACGAACAATAAGTACTCTAAATGCATTCTAATAATGTTCCTACATGGTATATGATTGAATTTCCGTGTGCGGCAAGAAAATGAACGATTTATTTAAAACGCTGGTATGTGAATACACTCTTAGTATATTGCTATCTAACTCCAACAGAATGACCCTCATCTACAATCCAATAAATTGTACAGATCCAAGAGCACATTAGCTCCTTAACATACGATCATTGGATCTTTAGCTCTTCGCCTCATTCAGACTCAACATCTTCTTCAACTGCTTCAATGTACACTTCCCTTTAGTCACCCCTTTAAGACTTCTCCTTGAAGCCACTAACTTAATTCTTAATATAACATTGATGAACTCAACAACATTTTTTTTTATCAATGCCAAGGATATATCTCTCAAAGCGGTGCTACAAATAACACGCCAAAACCTTGCAAACGTTATATTGAACTTGTAACGAGCATAAATCCGTCATCGTCTGCCAAAGTGTTAACTGGAATTTAAATAAAAACTTTAAAAAAAAGAGTTAAAATAACATTTAACACCTTTTAGTGTTTTCGACTTGGTGGCACGAGCGCCTTCGAATTTCGTCTATTCAAAAGAAGGGGCGTTAATTCGTTTGTCAACATTTATTTATTTTTTTTTTTTTGGCTGTTGGTTAAGCGTGTGACCACGCTCGTTTGGCGATCATGCACAATAGATGTGGGTATTGAGGACGGTACACGCAAAATGGGGATAAATGGAAGACTTGCCGAATGTCTAGGTTTTAACTGGCATTAATACAAGACAAAAAGGTATTGAGTCAGAGTTGTATTTTACCGCCAAAAAACACACTGGTTCGATGAGTTTCGTCGAAGGTCGTAAATGGCAGACAGTAGAAAAAGACAAAAAAAAAAAAAAAAAAAAAAAAAAAAGAAAACGGAAAAATATAAAAACAAGCTGTTCATAGATGATTTAACAATTATCGGGATTATAAGGAGTGGTACAATGGACCTTCCAACAATTTACAGAAAACAAAACATTTTATAGAAATAACTCGAGATTCGTAAATACAATGAAAATTTCCATCAACGATATTGGTACCGTAGCTAACAAAAGATTTACAGCCTGTTCCACGATATGCAAAGAACATTTGCGCAAACGAAAGCTAGTCACACTCTTTGGTATCAGAATGCGTTCTACTAACATTCATTCGTTCTTTCGCATAGCCTTACGTGACTCAGTGTTGCTAAATATACCTTTGAAAAATTAATCGCAAAATTAAACAAAAACCGCCAAAATGAGAGATTTAAACGCGAAAAAGCAGTAAAAAATACAACCATACGCCAGCTGCCTCCGTCTGAAATGGCAGTCCAGTTGTAAACAAAAATTTTTAAATAAACAAACAAAATAACATTCCGAGTTTCCCAGTGTTTGTGTTCCATCTATTTGTGTTCAAATCGATATAGAATTTTATGCTGATCAAGAACATATATACTTTGTGGGGTCTAAAATGTATATTTCGAGGTGTTTCAAACGGAATGACAAGCTTAATATACCCTCCATACTATGGGGGAGGGTATAAAAAAGTTTGTTCTCTAACTCTCTAGCACATTCCGTTTTCCTCTCTAGGCATATGCTTCTATAAGAACTTAAAGCCTCCAGATAAAATATTTTCGCATCTGATGTATATGTTCTTGGTATATCTGGCCTTCTTTTCCTACCTAAATTTTGGTAGTGGACTAAAAGTTTTAGCTGTTTAAATCTCAATTTTCAGTAGCAAATGACCCGACTAAATTCATTCCTCAATTTTCAAACCATCCTACCATTTTAACGTTCCACGATAGCGATAGGACACGTTCGCATACCGTTTATACGACAAACAGAGAGCTGATTTCCGTCCCACTAAAATCCATCAGAATGAATAATTGTGCGAAAATCAAAGGGGAGGAGAATCCTAAGTTTGCCAGAGGAGTGTCAATATTAGGAAGCAGCAGTAAACCCTTGGAGAGCACTGGAAAAAAATTATGTTTTAAATTCTTCTTCTCCTTCTCGCACAATGGCAGAGTGGAAAAATGTAAGGCAGAAAATTCGGCTTACGATCTATTTGTCTGACCGCCATTATTATTTACAGGCTTGGGCTGATCTAAAGTCCCACACAAAAAAAGGACATAGCAAGGAATAGGAGGCGGTTTGTTTCCATTCTTCTATATCGATTTATTAATGTCTGTCTGTCTGTCCGTATGTGGAAATCACTCTAGCTTCCGAAAGAAATAAAGTAACTTTATAAAAAAAATTTACTCAAATGTGTATTATGTCTGCAGGACTTTTGGTATTGAAAATGGGCTGTGTAGGTCCACGTCTTCGTATAGCCCCCAAATAACTGTACCTTCCCGATATTCGGTATTTTGATGATTTTAGCGACATTATTTACCGGAATTGATTTAAATTTGGCATTTGAAGTTCGTAATGCATACCACAGCCCAAGACAGAAAATGAGCCATTTAGATCCACGTCTTCGTATAGCCCCCGTATAAGGGTTATCATCCGATATTCGGTATTTTGATGTTTTTAGCGACATTATTTACCGGAATTGTTTCAAAATTGGTATTTGAAGTTTGTAAAGGATACTATAGCCTCAGACAGGAAATGGACCATGCAGATCCACGTCTTCGTATAGCCCCCATATAACGGTACCTCTCGATATTCGGTATTTGGATGATTTTAGCAACATTATTTACCGGAATTGTTTCAAATTTGATATTTGAAGTTCGTAATGGATACTACAGCATATGACAGGAGATTGTCTGTGCAGGTTCACGTCTTCGTATAGCCCCCATAAAACGGTACCAGCGATATTCGGTATTTTGATGACTGTAATTACATTATTCACCGATTTTTTTTTTGAATATCCATCCATGTCGTGTATTGACCCTAATATAACAGCTACATTCGGTATTTCTAAGATTTTAACGGATTTTATTGTTTGTGAGAATTGCCAAATTCCTTCCAAATGGTGGAGGGTATTCAAAGTTCGGCCCGGCCGAATTTACAGTTTTTTTTCTCGTTCTATATTCAATGTTGCACTTTTCTCAATCAATACTTAATAGTCTCCAATTGAAAAAAAAAAAGAAAATTTAAGATTCCAACAAAAATTTAAGTTCAGCAGAAATAAAAATTAACTGTTATATTTTATAACTTACTTCAATTGGTCATTTCAATAAAGATTTCCGATCACTATTCACACATTCTTATAAAAAAAGCTTTTTGTGCAATTTTTTTTCCATAAAAAATTTGAGTGAATGGAGGAAGGGAAAACGTTAACAGAAATTGGCGATGACCTCTACCTCAGTAATTTCACCTGACCTCTTTGGCAAGTAAACGAATGTTTTCTAATCGGAGAAAACCAAATTCGGCAGTTCACCACTTTCGGCCAAGCGAAGCAACTCTTTTGAGACTATTTTCTTTCTGTTGCAGTGTAAGTTCTTACACTTTTTGGAATTTCAATGGCTTTACCACGAGTTCATTTTTCAATATTTGCCGAATGGAAAATTGCGATATAATCAGCTCACGAGCCATTTTTCGGCCACCGCGACGCGGCCACTGCGACGCGGTTTCAAGTCGCTTCTTTAATTTTTTTTGTAACGATTATAATCAGCTGTCACTGAAATAATTTTAACAGCTGTCGGACGAGTGGCTTAGAAATGACAGCAGTCTGAAGTTGATTGCAGTTTTTCATCCCGCCCTGTATATGCGGTTTACAAGTGTTGCAAAAAATTATCACTCATGTGGAAATTTACTACGAAAAGTGGAATATGTTAATAAATTTAGCCAGGGTTATGGCAATAAAACTCCACTTAAATGTTATTCACACTAGAAACATTTATTCGATTTAGAGATCGATATTTTCCGCTAAATTTTGAACTGTTTTCACATTTAAATTGTTAACTTTCATTTGAGATTTGTGGACTTATTCTACTAATTTTGCTTAAATACAAATACATATAAAAACAACAATAAAAAGCTAAATTATTAACATTGATTTTCTGAACTTAACATAATCTCGATCCATAAAAATTAAACTAAAATTAAAACTGGATTTGGGATTCGAAATACAATTCGCAATCCATTATCAAAAATTATTACATTCTAAAAAAAATCTGGCTACAAAATCAGTAACAACTTAAGGATGGCATTTAATCCATTCCTTCTTAAACTACCAAATGCGAAACATCGCTGGTGTAGCCGGGCGAGTACTTTGGTGGCATTAAATTTCCCGAATGTTTAATTTTACCCAACATTGGACCATGAACTTTGGGTGAATGCTTGGGTTTAAAGGTCGGATCCAAATAGCGACGATTCCTCAACATATCATTGTCACCCAGCCATGCTTTTTCGGGTACACGAGAACCACCACCCAAACGATGATAACGTCGCTTATCCACGGTGTAGCTGATGGTGCCCGGATTTGAGTTGAGCCCGACATTGTACTGACGCTGCATGGCCAATGAGGTGCGTATCGTTTTGCGTTTCTAGAGAAGGCGTAAAAAAGATAAATATATTATTCATTTTCAAAAATAGTATTACTTGCAGTATGAAGAACGTAGGAGCGACAGTGTGGATAAAATATAAAAATGTTTTTGCCCAAAGTGATAATTGGTCGAAGTAATTAAAAATGGCCAGATCACCCCAATTGGAGACGGAGACAGATGAACTTAACACAAAAGCAGGCATCTGGCTGAAAAGTGAAAGAGGGATCAAGAAGACTGTCACTGCAAAAAATAGACAGCCCGTACAAAATACTTTGCACATACTTTTAAGATTTGGGCAAGATGCTGGAAAAATCTGCCAATTAAAAATAAATATTCCAAAATTATCAATTATTTAGCTGCCATAAAATACAGCATGTGTACAATTCAGTGATCTTGTGCGTCGACGTATACGATAATGTGCAAGGTAATAAAGTTTATGACCCACAAACACACAGAGAGAGAGAGAGAGACAATGAAAGGACAAGCAGTCCTACAATGTTCTCCATTCAATATAAGAATATATAATAGTTGTGTGACTGCGATTAGGTTAAGTTAGATTAGTTTCTGTAGTACTTAAGGAACATATTTTTAAATAAAAACTAGAATTGAATATACACCCAAGCGAAGCAGCTGCATTCTTTTCTTATTCTACATTGCTCCAGTTGAGCCGAATAGAGAATAGAGTTGAAAATCGAAGAGGGAGATTGGATTCTATTTTCATCTACAATATAGATGCAGGTATCTGGCAAAAACTGAAAGAGGGACGAAGAAAACTGTCGGTACAAAATATAGACAGTCTGTAGAAAAAACACTTTGTACATAATTTTAAGGTGAGTGTGAGGTACTGGGAAAATATAACAATTAAAAGTAAATATTCCAAAATTATCAATTATTTAGCTGCCATAAAATACAGCATGTGTACAATTCAGCGATCTTGGGCGCCGACGCATACGATAATGTGTAAGATAATAAGGTTTATGACCCACACGCACAGATATCGATAATGTTCTCCATTCAATATTGAAATATATAATAGTTCTGTGGCTGGGATTTGGTTTAGTTAGATAAGTTCTAGTAATACTTAAGGAACATATTTTTAAATAAAAACTAGAATTGAATTGACAACCGAAGAGCGAGGTTGGATTCCTTTCTCATTTCTCTACAGTCAGAGAACTTAAAGGATAGGTAGATTATTTAGGAGATATGGGATTAAGTACAAGTTTTTTTATTGCGAGGTCGTCAGGGTACACTGGGCAATGGTCCAAAGAAAACACCAATTTAAGTCTTGGCATAAGGATGTCTATTTATTAGCCTATGAAATTTTCAGTCTTAAAATGTATTCAGCCAAGATTCGTGGACGTCGATTTGAATGCAATTGCAGGACTTTTTTAATATAACAGAAATGTGTTGTGAGTGTAGAAGAGAGAAGGGAACTTAGCAAAGATACACCATGTAATTCGGTTAAGAAATCGAAACAACATTCGCACCACATCATCATGCTTCTGATAACGCTCAGAGGCATAACACAATATTGATTTAAAACAGGATTCAAATATTTTTAACTTGTTACATTTGAAACTTTTTGAGCCTGTCGAATTTATAACATTTTTTGATGCGATGGTTTATTTTTTAAGAACTTCTTAAATAATAGATTATACGTAATATCAACGCCAAAATGCCTATAAGAATTTACAACTGCAATGTTCCGGTTATTGAAGCGAAAATGCAGATTTGATGGTATTCTGGTACCAGTTCTAAAAATCATTAGTTTGGAGTTTAACTTTTAGGCTCCATTTCTGACAGTAGTCTTGCAGTAACCTGTAGTAACCGACAGCAAAACATTTGAACATTTGTCTTGGCAACATTAACATCCCCAGGAAGTAAGTCTGGCAGATCATTCCGATATAGGGTGAAGAGAACAAGGCTCAGTATACAACCTTGTCTAACTCCGGACTCTACATTAAAATAATCTGAGTATTAATTAGCGTTCCATATCTTACTTTGTGTTTGGTTATATAAATATTGTATTGTTGATACAATCTTTCCTAAAATGCCTATTGTAGAAGGTTTGTAAAATAAGCAATTTCTCGGAATTAGGTCAAAGGCCAAAGAAAAGTTGACAAGGAATGCGTATGTATATTTATATCCAATTTTATGCAGTATCACAACTTCCATATTCATCTCAGGTCTCTGGTTGAGAGAAATATTTAGATATATTTAGATAGCAATCGCTAACTCGTTTCGCAAATTATTGCAGATAAAGGTATTGAAAAGTGTGACCCTTTGTGGGTGAGGTACCAGAAGGGTTTGGCAGATAACTATACATCTTCACAACAGATTTTGGGTTTGCACAATTATTTGGCTGTGTGAAATTTGAAGAGAGTTCGATGCTTATTCCATGTTTTATAAGCGTTTTGTTTTTCAAAACTCTGACCCTTTGTGGGGGAGGTACCAGAAGAAATGGTCCGATCTCTACCATATTTATAACAGATCTTGTGTTAATAAAAATATTGAGATGTACGAAGTCTGAATTGAATCGGATGTTAATTTCGCGTTTTATGAGCTTCGTGAATATTCAAAATTCGTACCATTTGTGGGGGAGGTACCAAAAGGAGTGGACCGATATATCCCATATTCCCAGCTGATCTTGCGTTAGCAGAAATAATGGGATGTGTGAAATATGAAGAGAAGCGGAGGCTTATTTCGGATTTTATAATCGTTTTGATTATTCAAAACTTTGACCCTTTGTGGGGGAGGTACCAAAAGGAATGGTCCGATCCCTACCATCTTTATAATACATCTTGAGCTTCTGGAAATATTGAGATGTACCAAGTCTGAATGGAATCGGATGTAAATTTCGCGTTTTATGAGCTTCATGGATTTTGAAAATGTTGATCCTTCGAGGGGGAGGTACCAGAAGGAATGAACCGATATATTCCGTTTTCACACCAGACCTTGGATTAATACAAATTTTGTGATCAGAGTAATTTGAAGACAATCGGACTCTTACTTCTCTTTTTATAAGAGTTATAATTATTTAAGATTTTGGGGGAGATATTTGATGGAGTGGACCGATATTGTTCATTTTCGCAACTGACGTAGCATGATGTCAAGTTTCTTCTGAAGTATCGATTCTTCAAGTGTCGCTTGAAAACGCAACATAATCACACTTAATCTTACCTCTATGGTGCCTCTCCATTTGGCCGCCGCGTGCCGTGCTATATCCATGCGTTTTTGTTTCTTCACCTGATGCTTTTTATAGATCACCTCGATGATAATGAGACCGACGCCTATGGCTACACCAGCTGCCACCAAAATGAAAACCCCTGCCATATTTTTCAAACCCAATGTGTTGGGTGTTTTCTCAAACTGCTCACATTGTTGGGCATTGCCGTGGAATATCCATGCTTTGTCGAGGGCCTCCATGAAACCACCTGTTAGGAGTGAAGGAGAGAGAGAGAGAGATAGAAAGAAAATAACTTTAAATTCTGATTGAGAGAGAAATCTAGAAGGCTCTCCCTGTGTTAAAAATGTGAGAGAGAATTTTGAGAGAAATCTGCACAGGTCTTCAATAAAGGAGAACTTTCGAAAGACTTCGAATTTTCTCAAATTTTTATAAAAACATTCTCCAGATCTTCTATATACAGGGTGAGATGAAAAAACTGCAACTAACTTCAGACTGCTGTCATTTCTAAACCACTCGTCCGACAGCTGTTAAAATTATTCCAGTGACAGCTCATTATATTGTTTACAAGCGTACAAAAGCATTTCGGTGAGAATTTTCCAGAAAAAAAGTTATTCGTGATGGAATTCAAGCGTGATAGTGTGATTTCTTTATATTTGGCTGGAAAGCAACACGACTGACTATCGTTAGAGCACTCCAGCATATAAATGTGAATAAATCTTTTGTGTCTCGTACCATCGCTCGTTACCGTGGTACTGGTAGTGTAGCCCGACGTCAAGGAAGTGGACGGAAAAAAACAGCAACATCAGCAGATATGGTTCGAAAAATAAAGAATCGACTTGATCGAAACCCGCGTCACAGTGACCGAAAAATGGCTCGTGAGCTGAACATATTGCAATATTCCATTCGGAAAATATTGAAAAATGAGCGCGGGGTAAAGCCATTGAAATTCCAAAAAGTGCAAGAATTTACACCGCAACAGAAAGAAAATAGATTTAAAAGAGCTAAAGAGTTACTTCGCTTGGCCGAAAGTGGTGAACTGCCTAAATTGGTTTTCTCCGTTCTCAGATGAGAAAACATTCGTTGTTTGTAATCAAACAAAATGATCGTGTTAACTTGCCAAAGAGGTCAGCTGAAAATGTGCACCTTCGGTTGGCCAACAGAACTCAAGCGCTGGCCATGGTGATGGTGTGGGCCGCCATAACAGCCGATTGTCGCTCTCCGCTCATATTAATCGACCATGGCATCAGAATAAATGCCGAATATTATGGCGAAAATATTCTGGAGGGTGTATTAAAGCCTTGGCTACGCAAACATTTTGGCAGCAGACCTCGGACATTCTATCATGACTCAGCACCATCGCACTCAGCCACCCAAGAATGGTTTCAAAATGAGGTTCCTCGCTTCATTTCCAGCGTACAATGGCCACCAAAATCTCCGGATACCAATCCGTTGGACAATTGTGTCTGGAGTATTTTGGAAAGCAAGGTTGGCACTAAAAAATGCCAAAGTGTCGATTAAAGCAAGTAATCGCTTCGTCGGAAATGGGCCAAAATACCGCAGAGCAAAGTTGTGGCGGCGTGTGACGATTTCATTGGCCGATATATAGGCTATAATTCGTGCCAAAGGTGACCATTTCTAACAAATCTAAAATTATTCTAAAATTTGATCCTCTTTCCGACATTTTTTGCTTTCATTCAATAAAATTAAAAAAAAATAAATAAATAAAAATTATGGCCTTCGACATTGTTGCAGTTTTTTATCTCACCCTGTATATAAAATACCCTTTCGAATATTCAACCTCCAACCTTAAAATACCAGATCTAAATGAACTTTATTTTGTTGGAGAAAAAAAAAAACATTTCACTTACTCTCATGAAACTCTAGAATCGTCAAGGTAACTGCATCTGTCCAGGGTGATCCTTTCTGTAGGCCAATGCCATAACCGCTGCGACCAAATAACTCTCCAGCTGTGACCAGTTCACAATCTTTTGATGCTTCATATTCCAGGCGAGAAGAGTCCCATATAAAGGCCATTAACTTGCTAAATATGCAATCGTAAGATAGAGAGAGAGAGAGGGAGAACATTTAATAGAATATAAAATCATCATTGAATTTCTCTTGAGTTTCAAATTCCCCCCTTACCCCTTCTTAACATCCTCAATGGCCTGCTCTGCGGTATCGTAATTATTCGCCTCCATGGTACGATACATATTCGATAACTCAACCTGGCGTCTGAAATACATATCCACCGAAGATCCCTTCACCGTGGCACATGTTAAATTTTCCATTGTATTGCGGAGGCGAGCATCATTGATACCACTCAACTTCGTTTTGGGACGTTCCAACACGAGGAAGGCAGCCAAGTTGGCAGTGTACGAGGCAACAATGATCATAGCAAAGCCGGCCCATACCATGCCCAAAACTCGGGCAGAAAAGCTACGCGGTGTACCCTCACCAATGCCACTGTTCAACAGAACACCCCAGGCAAACCATATGGCCGAACTGAGATTTAAAGCTTTCTCTTCGTGACTGTCAACGTGAGATAGCTTAAAGCGGCCAAATGGTGAGAATCTGTTCAGGGTTGAGGGAGAGAGAGTTTGAGAAAAGAGCATGTGATTAGTAGAGAGTTTTGGAGAAATAATAAACTATTTTAAATCAAAAAAGAAAAGTGCTAAAAAATTGAGAAAAATTCTTAAAAAAAATATTGTGTCTCTTCCAAAAATACTTCATGCCCAGTTATTTTACGAAAAAAGAGAAAAAATTGTTTGTTATTGTCACAAAGAGAAATAGAGAGAGGGAGAAAAATACTCAGAAAAAATGTATTTGTTTCAAAATCTGTTCGGGTAGGGTTCGGTAAGAAAGAAAGGTCGGTAAGTTAGGTTTCCTCTATCCATAGAAGAGCTTTAGGTCTACTCTCTTCATAAAAGAGCTTCAAGTCTTCTATCCATAAAAGAGCTTTAGGTCTACTCTCTTCATAAAAGAGCTTCAAGTCTTCTATCCATAAAAGAGCTTTAGGTCTTCTATCCATAGAAGAGCTTTAGGTCTTCTATCCATGGAAGAGCTTTAGGTCTTCTATCCATAGAAGAGCTTTAGGTCTTCTATCCATGGAAGAGCTTTAGGTCTTCTATCCATAGAAGAGCTTTAGGTCTTCTAGCCATAGAAGAGCTTTAGGTCTTCTAGCCATAGAAGAGCTTTAGGTCTTCTAGCCATAGAAGAGCTTTAGGTCTTCTAGCCATAGAAGAGCTTTAGGTCTTCTAGCCATAGAAGAGCTTTAGGTCTTCTAGCCATAGAAGAGCTTTAGGTCTTCTAGCCATAGAAGAGCTTTAGGTCTTCTAGCCATAGAAGAGCTTTAGGTCTTCTAGCCATAGAAGAGCTGTAGGTCTTCTAGCCATAGAAGAGCTGTAGGTCTTCTAGCCATAGAAGAGCTGTAGGTCTTCTAGCCATAGAAGAGCTGTAGGTCTTCTAGCCATAGAAGAGCTGTAGGTCTTCTAGCCATAGAAGAGCTGTAGGTCTTCTAGCCATAGAAGAGCTGTAGGTCTTCTAGCCATAGAAGAGCTGTAGGTCTTCTAGCCATAGAAGAGCTGTAGGTCTTCTAGCCATAGAAGAGCTGTATGTCTTCTATCCATAGAAGAGCTTTAGGTCTTCTATCCATAGAAGAGCTTTAGGTCTTCTATCCATAGAAGAGCTTTAGGTCTTCTATCCATAGAAGAGCTTTAGGTCTTCTATCCATAGAAGAGCTTTAGGTCTTCTATCCATAGAAGAGCTTTAGGTCTTCTATCCATAGAAGAGCTTTAGGTCTTCTATCCATAGAAGAGCTTTAGGTCTTCTATCCATAGAAGAGCTTTAGGTCTTCTATCCATAGAAGAGCTTTAGGTCTTCTATCCATAGAAGAGCTTTAGGTCTTCTATCCATAGAAGAGCTTTAGGTCTTCTATCCATAGAAGAGCTTTAGGTCTTCTATCCATAGAAGAGCTTTAGGTCTTCTATCCATAGAAGAGCTTTAGGTCTTCTATCCATAGAAGAGCTTTAGGTCTTCTATCCATAGAAGAGCTTTAGGTCTTCTATCCATAGAAGAGCTTTAGGTCTTCTATCCATAGAAGAGCTGTAGGTCTTCTATCCATAGAAGAGCTGTAGGTCTTCTATCCATAGAAGAGCTGTAGGTCTTCTATCCATAGAAGAGCTGTAGGTCTTCTATCCATAGAAGAGCTGTAGGTCTTCTATCCATAGAAGAGCTGTAGGTCTTCTATCCATAGAAGAGCTGTAGGTCTTCTATCCATAGAAGAGCTGTAGGTCTTCTATCCATAGAAGAGCTGTAGGTCTTCTATCCATAGAAGAGCTGTAGTTATTAGAGCTGTAGGTCTTCTATCCATAGAAGAGCTGTAGGTCTTCTATAGAAGAGCTGTAGGTCTTCTATCCATAGAAGAGCTGTAGGTCTTCTATCCATAGAAGAGCTGTGGAAGAGCTTTAGGCTTCCATAGAACAGCTTTAAAATATTCATTCAAAAAGGTCTTCTCTTCATAGAAGAGCTTTAAAGGTCTTCTATTTATAGGATGGCTTTAGAGCTCTTCAGATAGTCTTCTCCTCATAGAAGACATCAAGAGGTCTTGTAAAGCTTTTAGAGATTTTATAGAAAACTTTTATACCAAGAAGAGCTTTTATGAATTTTCTATTCATAGAAGACCTTTTGATAACCCTTAAGATTCATCTTCCAATAAAAGAGCTTTAAATGATGGAATACCCAATCTTTCTTACCGAACCCCGCTCCCTAAATTCTCGTTAAAAGAAGGATAAGGATGTGATTGGAGAGAATCTATTAAACCATGCTTTGTTTTGCAAACTTTCAATATTTCTACTCTCAGAAGATAGCTTGCATGAGTTGAGTCGTACTACTCCCACCCCCGCTCTACTTACCGATCCAACAGATAGAGTACCAAGGCCACCACATGGACTGACACCACTACCAATATCCACAGCGTGTTACTAAATGGCTGTAAGAAGGACACTAAAGTACTCGATCGGGATGGCTTCTTTTCGAGTATTGTAATGCCTTGATATTTGAATGGTTTCGAAAATTCAATATATTCGGCACGCTCTGGATTAATGGTTAGTGGTGCAACAATCATGTCGGCCCGTTCGTTAACCAATTCGCCAATCAGGCCGGTCCATTCCTTTTTGGGCGGTGAGGAGGGTAGAGTGCCAGTGGTGGAATTTTTGAGGATGTAATGGCCAAATTGTCCATCGGGTGAGAGTCCGAGTTCATAGGTGAAATTGATGCGCTGTGAGAGGGCTTTGAGGAGATCAATGCAATAGCCACGACAGCAGTAGTCATTTTCTGGAAAGGAGAGGGAGAGAGAAAGAGAGATTTTTTAAAATTTAGTAAATGAAAGGAGGTGTTTTTCCAACTCACCCACTCCATTTGTATTATTAAACAGCGGACATGGCACCTCATCATCCACACAGGCCACCTCATCGTCCGTCAGACGCCGCACATAGACAAAGGGTTTCTCCTCAATAGTCAATACCTTCAAATGTGTGGGTATCATGATACCTTCTGGCTTCTTGCGTTGCCTTCCCGGCCATATGATCAGACTATCGTTGATATGCAGACGCATTGTGGCCTTGGCCTGAGGACAGAGGAAATTTTATTAAGATTAAGAAAATATGGAGAGGTTCTCTCTCTCTCTTACCGGATCATAATAGAATTCCCCCACAATTTGCCTCTTCTGCTTGGGCCTCATATTGATGACATGATAACCGGCATAGATACGATCGCCATTATCATCAAAGGCCACTTGGCCAGTTTCTCCGGTTATATTGCGGGTCTTCAGATAATGGAAGAGACGTTTGCCTGGAAAAAGAGAGACATTTGACAATTAGACCTTTCTCCCACTGGGCCCCTAGACACTCATCAGCTTGTCAATTTGGACTTCTAGGTACATCAGATCGGTTGTATAGGCTTCCTAGATCTATACCGAAATGGAGGAGCTTCTAAATACCTTCTATCCATAAATACCTCCTATCCATAAATGAACTTTAAGTGTCTCCTATCATTTAAAAGCTCTCTTATCCACAGATGATTTTTAAAGCCATCCCATAACTCATTTGGTCTCCCAGGCCCATCAGCTCGGGTTGTATGGACTTCCTAGCTCCATATATAAGCTTTAAGAGCCTCCAATCGTTCCACAGACGATTTTTAAAAGCTATTCCAAAAATAGCACTTATAGCTTTCATATGCTTCATATGCGTGCTTTAAAAGACCTGTTATTCATAGAAGATCTTTAAAAGGGTTTCTATTCATTGAAGAGTTTTAGTTCTCTTAATCGTGGTCTCCTGCCCAAATAAGTGTATTGGGTCTGTCATCAATAAATTAACTTTAGGTCCTCTCCCTGTAAATTAGCTTTAGAAAAGCTCAAGATCGTAAAAGCGTAGCAAAACTTTATGTCTTCCACTTATTTGAAGGCTTTTGGTATGTCTTCCTTGAAAAAAAGTTTTCTCTTCATAGAAGAGATTTCTAGGATCTGCAATCCAAATACGAGCCTTTAGGGATATTCTTTTCAAAGATGGTGTTTGAGGACTCGTCTATGAAGACTTCCTGCCTTGTCAGTTCGTCTATAAACTCCCTGTCCCGTCAGCTCGTCTATGAAGAAGACTCCCTGTCCCGTCAGCTCGTCTATGAAGAAGACTCCCTGCCACGTCAGCTCGTCTATGAGGACGCCCTGCCACGTCAGCTCGTCTATGAGGACTCCCTGCCCCGTCAGCTCATCTATGAGGACTCCCTGCCTCGTCACCTCGTCTATGAAGAAGACTCCCTGCCTTGTCAGCTCGTCTATGAAGAAGACTTCCTGCCTCGTCAGCTCGTCGATGAAGACTCCCTGCCTCGTCAGCTCGTCTATGAAAACTCCCTGCCCCGTCAGCTCGTCTATGATGACTCCCTGCCTAGTCAGCTCGTCTATGATGACTTCCTGAGGACTTCATGTCTCGGCAGCTCGTATATGAAGACCCTCTATGTGGTAGCTCGTATATGAAGACTTCCCGTCAAATACAACTCAGAAGATTTTCTGTCCCATCCAACTTGTCTACGAAGACTTCCTGAAGCATTCAACTTTTCTATGAAAACTTCCTGATCCATGAAGTCTTTCCGATTCGTCAAACATGTCTATGAAAACTTCCTGATCCAAGAAGACTTCCCGATTCCTGACGCATTCAACTTATCTATGAAATGAAGATTTCCAGGTCCATCCAACTTGTGAATGACGACTTACCGACTCATCCAACTTGTCCATGAAGATTTTCTAACTCATCCAACTGATCTAAGCAGACTCCCTGACCTTTCTCGGAGAACTTTCTAACCCATACAATTTGGCTATGAAGACTTTCGAATCATCTAATTTGTCTTAGAAGACTTCCCATCCTACTTGTCTGTGAAAAATTTCCGACTCATCCAACTTGTCTCTAAATGACTTCCTTACCCATCCAACTTGTCTCTGAATACTTTCCGACCTATCCAACTTGCCTTTTAAGACTTCCTGACTCAACCAACCTGTCTATGAAGTCTTCCTGGCTCATTCACGAATTCCTCCCGGCTTATCCAACTTGTCAATAAAGACTTCCTAGCTCATCCAATTGGTCTATGAAGGCTGCTCAACTCATTCTACTTGCCTACGAACATTTTCCGACTCATCCAACTTGTCTCTGAAGACTACCTGACTTATCCAATGTTTCTCCTAAGACTTTCTGGCTTATCCAACATGTCTTTGAAGACTTCCTGGTCAACCCCACTCGTCTACCAAGACTTCCCAATTCATCCAACTCGTCTATGAAGATTTCCAGACTAATCCAACTTGTCTATGAAGTCTTCCTGACCCATTCAACTTGTCTATGAAAACTTCGCAGCTGGTCCAAGTTGTCTGTGAAGAATACCCCACTAAACCAACTTGTCTACGAAGACTGCCTGAGAAATTCCACACGCCCACGAAGACTTTCAGGCCATCGAACCAATCTGTGAATACTCCCTGATCTCCTCTCTGGCCCGCCAAATCCTCTATGGTGACTCCCTGGCTCTCCAGCCTGTATATCACGACATTCTGCCCTACAGCTCCCAACCCTGACCTTTAGACACTCCTGATCTTTGGCTAGTCTATTAAAATAATAAATCTTACCTGATTCCCAATTAACTCCCGAGTCATCGCAGTTCTTTGGTGGCTCCGTAATAGTTTCATTTTGTCTCATTTCAATAATGGCAGAGGCCAGGACATAAACGGAGTCCTAAAAAGATAAAAAATAAGAAAAATATAAATTTTGGAAGTGAAAAAATATGACTACTCCGAACCCACCTTAATATGCGAATGGTCACTGTTAACATGTTCCAGCTGCAGACCCAAGACACCATCAGGGGTATTGGGGGCACTCAAGGCCTGTTCTGTGACAATCCAAACATGCCCCGCTTCGGTCATGTTGTATGTGGCAGCATCACGGAATATGACCTGGGCATCTTCGGTGCTGAAATTTAAATAAAAATTATTTCCTTCCTTAAAATACTTTCCCCTCCCCACTTCCCTCTCTTCCTCTTACCTGGCATACAACAAATACACCCGACTCTGGGCCGTTTTCATTTCAATCAAATGCTCCGCAAAGCTATCCAATTTCGGTTCAAATTCCACAATCATTTCCACGGTGGCCCGAACATCGATGTCATCATAATAGGTCTGGGATGTTGTTTGGAATCTACCCAATATGGCACGGCCATCTGTATCCGAGCTGTGGATTATAATTACCTGAAAAGCACAACAACAACACATGAACTGAAAACATATCCCCCGGGGCCATCGGCTGGCATTTAATGCTCTTTTACCTTGGTATAACCAAAATGATTCAACATCTCCAACCACACATCGGCCTGATGATAGTACGGCGGCACGGTGCGCAGGAAGGACACATGAATATTCTTGTCCGAGAAGGCAGCATCACGGGATGAGATGCCAATGACGGGTATTTGAAAGAAACCACTGGTGTAGCTGACAGCAGCCGGTGACAAGTCACCCGAGGTGGATTCATGTGACACCACAACGGCATAGACCTGCAAAGGAGGAGGAGGAGAGATAGGCAAAAGAACAAGAGTAAGAATAAGTAGGCAGTTGGTAAGTAAGATACACAGCAGCCGAACGGATGGAAAATCGAATCAAAATGCAAATGAAATTACGCCACAGACGTCGTTTGGCTGCCAATTCTTGGAGGAGAAGAAGAAAAGCAACAGCCTTCCAAAGGACGTGGTTCGACGCCACCACCGGCAACGGTATTACAAGATATTTATATTCAATTCAATTACTTGCCATTTTGCCTGGTGCAGAATAAAGTAATACGGAATATGGCCTATTAAAGAGGAGAGGGGGAAATCGAAGAATATATTTAAGCTAAGGGAAATTATTAATATCTCCGGTGGAATGTGGAAAAATATCATTTAATAGTTGTAAAGCAATAAGGATTATTGGTCCTTGGAGAGACCTGAATTGATTTGAGGGAAGACTTCTCATAGAAGAGAAGAAAAATCGTCTTCTCATAGAAGACCAAAAGGTCTTCTCATAGAAGACCAGAAGGTCTTCTTATAGAAGACCAGAAGGTCTTATTATAGAAGACCAGAATTTCTTCCCATAGAAGACCAGAAGGTCTCCTTTGTAGAAGACCAGAAGGTCTTCTCATAGAAGACCAGAAGCAGGTCTTCTCATAGAAGAAGAAAAGATACAGTTTCATAGATAAGAAGGTATTCACCACAACAAAAGCAAAAAAGACCTGAAGGTCTTCTCATAGGAGACCAGAAAGTCTTCCTGTAGAAGACCAGAAGGTCTTCCTGTAGAAGACCAGAAGGTCTTCCTTTAGAAGACCAGAAGGTCTTCTTATAGAAGACCAGAAGGTCTTCCTATAGTAGAAGACCAGAAGGTCTTCTCATAGAAGACCAGAAGGTCTTGTCATAGAAGACCAGAAGGTCTTCTCATAGAAGACCAGAAGGTCTTCTCATAGAAGACCAGAAGAAGGTCCTTTAATAGAAGACCAGAAGCAGGTCTTCTTATAGAAGACCAGAAGAAGGTCTTTTCATAGAAGACCAGAAGGTCTCCTTTGTAGAAGACCAGAAGGTCTTATTACAGAAGACCAGAGGGTCTTCTCATAGAAGACCAGAAGGTCTTCTCGTGGAATACCAGAAGGTCTTTTCATAGAAGACCAGAAGGTCTTCTCCTAGAAGACCAGAAGGTCTTCTCATAGAAGACCAGAAGGTCTTCTCATAGCAGACCAGAATAAGGTTTTTCGTAGAAGACCAGAAGGGTTCTCATAGAAGACCAGAAGGTCTTCTCACAGAAGACCAGAAGGTTTTCTCACAGAAGACAAGAAGGTTTTCTCACAGAAGACCAGAAGGTTTTCTCACAGAAGACCGGAAGGTTTTCTCACAGAAGACCGGAAGGTCTTCTCATAGAAGACCAGAAGCAGGTCTTCTTATAGAAGACCCGAAGGTCTTCTCAATGAAGACCAGAAGCAGGTCATTTTATAGAAGACCAGAAGCAGGTCTTCTCATAGAAGACCAGAAGGTCTTCTCATAGAAGACCGGAAGAACTTCTCATAGAAGACCGGAAGAACTTCTCATAGAATACCAGAAGCAGGTCTTCTTATAGAAGACCAGAAGCAGGTCTTCTCAATGAAGACCAGAAGCAGGTCATTTTACAGAAGACCAGCAGCAGGTCTTCTTATAGAAGACCAGAAGGTCTTCTCATAGAAGACCAGAGGGCCTTCTCATAGAAAACCAGAGGGCCTTCTCATAGAAAACCAGAAGATTTTCTCATAGACCAGAAGGTCTTCTCATAAAAGACCTGGAAGTCTTCTTATAGAAGAAGTTACCTTTGACACGAATTATGGCCTTCAAACGGCCAATGAAACCGTCACACGCTGCCCGAATGTTGCTCTGCGGTATTTTGGCCCATTCCCGGCGAAGCTCTTGCTTGAGGTGATCGACACATTGGTATTTTTGCTTTCCAAAATACTCCAAACACAATAGTCCAACGGATTGGTATCCGGAGATTTTGGTGGCCATTTTGTACTGGAAATGAAGCGAGTAAACTCATTTTGTAACCATTCTTGGGTGGCGCGTGCTGAGTGCGATGGTGCTGAGTCCTGTTGGAATATCCAAGATCTGCGGCCGAAATGTTTGCGTGCCTAAGGCTTTAATACACCCTCCAGAATTTTTTTTCGCAATAATATATAATTTGGCGATCCTCCTAAAGTGAATTTTCCTCTAATAGGTCAGTATAACTCTTTGCTTGTTGTGCTATAAACACTAAGAACACAAGGAGTTTGTAGAGCCCTATATTATAGTAAATACTTAAGTTCGTAACTTTAAAGCATACTTTGAGGCGCACATTTGGTGCTACCTAATTTAAATGCGTGCCTGTATTTGTCAATTGGTTGAAAACTCCAAGAAATATTTCAAGCAAAAATAAAAGCAATTAAAAGCTGATGTTAATAGAGAATTTCAATAGCTCAAATGTCACATATCCCCACTATTTGGCGCATGATAATTTTGTGCAGGATGTTCATGCCGTAAGTAGGGAATACAATTTAATAAAATAAGAATATCTCTAAGAATTAAGAAATTTAATTAATTTAATAATTTTTTTTATAAATGTTATTTCAGCTAACCTGCGCCCTAGTCAATACCCTGTCCTATGAAAAGAGATGTAACTATGTCAAAGCCACAGCACAGTGCTCGGAAGATGTCTTCATTTTCAATTACACGGAATTGTTTTACTGTAACATCGACACCAGCCAAACTCTATTCGTTGTTGGTGGCATAATGGCTCTAATTCTCTGTTGTTCCCTGCTATTTCTTATTTTAGGTTCCACCGCAGATGGTTTGTAAGTTGTGAATTAATAATTTTAATATTTTTTTTGAAAAACTTCTCTCAATTTCAGTTTTTGTCCCGCCTTGAAGGTGCTATCCTCAATTTTGGGTTTAAATGAAAATGTTGCCGGCGTAACGTTGCTGGCCTTTGGCAACTGTGCTCCCGATATGATGACAAGCATTACGGGTTTGGGCGGTGAATCGCGCCGCTTGTATTCCGATATTATGGGTGCCGGGCTGTTTGTGGTTTTTTGTGTGGCCGGAAGTATTGTGGCCTTTGTACCTTTTGTAACACAGCCAACGAATTTTCTGAGGGATTGTTTGTTTTTGTTATTGGCTGTGGTGTTTATCGATTATAGTATGGTCACGGATAAGGCCATAACTGTCATCGAGGGAGTGGGTAAGGAGGATACTATTTATTTTTAATTATTTCTTTTTTAATTTTGCTTCTTGAAGCTATATTGGGCATCTATTTGTGCTACATTGTGGTGGTGTGCCTGGATCAATATCTGGTGGTGCAGAAAGTGAAAGGTAAGCCTGGGAGTGGATCTTCTCCCGGGAAACCAGTCGATTTTTTCCAGAAAACATTAGTTGATGGGGCCCTAGAAGATCAGTTGAACTTCTCTCTCAGAAGAACTTCTCTAGGAGAAGATCAGTTAATCTTCTCCCAGAAAAACATTTCATTTTCTCCCAGAAGATCAGTTGATCTTCTCCTAGAAGATCAGTTGATCTTCTCCTAGAAGATCAGTTGATCTTCTCCCAGAAGATCAGTTGATCTTCTCCTAGAAGATGGGTTGATCATCTCCCAGAAAATCAGTGGATCTTCTTCTAGAAGACCAGTTGATCTTCTCCCAAAAGATCAGTTGATCTTATCCCAGAAAATCAGTTGATCTTCTCCCAGAAGATCAGTTGATCTTCTCCCAGAGGATCAGTTGATCTTCTCCCAAAAGATCAGTTTATCTTCTCCCAGAAGATCAGTGAATCTTCTCCCAGAAGATCAGTGAATCTTCTCCCAGAAGATCAGTGAATCTTCTCCCAGAAGATCAGTTGATAGCTTACCAGACGATCAGTAGATCTTCTCTTAGAAAAATCCCATGTACTTTTCCTAGAGGATCAGTGGATCTTCTCCCAGAATATCAGCGGATCTGCTCCCAGAAGATCAGTTGATCTTCTCCCAAAAGATCGGTTGATCTTCTCCCAAAAGATCGGTTGATCTTCTCCCAGAAGATCGATTGATCTTCTCCCAGAAGATTTGTTGATCTTCTTCCTGAAGATCAGTTGATCTTCTCCCAGAAGATCGGTTGATCATCTCCCAGAAGATCAGTTGATCTTCTTCCAGAAGATCGGTTGATAATCTCCCAGAAAATCAGTGGATCTTCTCATAGAAGATCAGTTGGTCTTCTACTAGAAAATCAGTTGATCTTCTCCTGGAAGATAAGTTGATCTTCTCCCAGAAGATGAATTGATCTTCTCACAGAAGATCAGTTGATCTTCTCCTAGAAGATTAGTTTAATTTCTCCTAGAAGATCAGTTTAATTTCTCTCCCAGAAGATCGGTTGATCATCTCCTAGAAAATCAGTTGATCTTCTCCTAAAAGATAAGTTGATCTTCTCCTAAAAGATAAGTTGATCTTCTCCCAGAAGACCAGTGGATCTTCTCCTAGAATATCAGGGGATCTTCTCCCAGAAGATCAGTTGATCTTCTCCCAGAAAATCAATAGATCTTCTAGAAGTTCAGTTGATCTTCTCAAGGGAGATATCTTATGGTCATTTTTTATCTTCCAATTAAAAGCTGGTCTCTTTTTTATTTCAGCAATGAAGGCCGAATCTAGAAGCCTTTCCAGCGCCTGTAGGTATACCCCACTTTTATTAGCTATGAGAAACCCCATTTGATCTCTACTTCCCTTAAAGCCTCCGAATACTTTTCACGCCTTTCACGTGAGGCCCACTTTGAAATACACTCCCGCAGCTGTAGTCAGCAGTTGGAACGGAACTCTATACCCTATAATGCTGGGCACAGTGCCAATTATTTGCTCATCCAGCAATTTCTAAATTCGCTGAATCCCATTGACCCTCAAGAGTGGTTGGAGGCCAATAGATGGCAGCACATCATGATCTTGTTAAAGGCACCTATTCTCCTAATTTTGAAAGCTCTAATACCCATTGTTGATTTCGAGCTGGAGGATCATGGTTGGTCGAAGTTGCTGAATTGTCTGCAGCTGGTTTCACTGCCCCTTTTCATTGGCTGGGCCATAGAGGGTGGGGAATATAATTTGTATGGGCTGCCTTTATGGACTACGTCGGTAATTGTAACGCTTCCCTTGGCAGTTGCGGCATTTTGCCACAGTCGAACGGATACTACTCCAGAATTTCATAAGGTAGGGGATATTTAAGAGAATTTTTGCATAGATTCTAAGGTCTATTGGGGTTCTTTCAGTATCTTGCCATTTTGGCAGCAATGGGTTCCATTTATGTCACTATGCCTGTGCTGCAGAAACCATTAGCATTTTAAATGTCCTTGGCTTAACCACCCAACGCAGCAATTCCTTTTTGGGCTGCACCCTACTGGCCTGGGGCAATAGCATTGGCGATTTGGTGGCAAATGTGGCCTTGGCTCGCCAGGGCTATCAGAAAATGGGTTTTGCGGCGTGTTTTGGTGGACCAATGTTCAGTAAGTAGTGGAAAATTCAGGTGATCTTCTCATAGAAGGTCAGGACATCTTCTCTTAGAGGATAAGGAGATCTTGTCCCAGAAGATCAGGAGATCTTCCCTCATAGAAGAGAGGTGATCTTCTCAAAGAAGAGATGGCGATCTTCTCAAGGAAGATCAGGTGATCTTTTCAAAGAAGATCAGGTTATCTTTTCATAAAAAAACGGGTGACCTCCTCTTAGAAGTTCAGGTGATCTTCTCATAGAAGATCAGGTCATCTTCTCATAGTACATCAGGTGATCTTCTCATAGAACATCAGGTGATCTTCTCATAGAAGATCAGGTGATATTCTAATAGAAGATCAGGAGATCTTCTAATAGAAGATCAGGTGATCTTCTCATAGAAGATTAGGTGATCTTTTCATAGAAGATTAGGTGATCTTCCCATAGAGGATCAGATGATCTTCTCATAGATGATCAGGTGATCTTCTCATAGAAGATCAGGTGATCTTCTCATAGAAGATCCGGCGATCTTCTCATAGAAGATCCGGCGATCTTCTCATAGGAGATCAGGTGACTTTTTCATAGAAGCTCAGGTAATCTTCTCATAGATGATCAGGTGATATTCTCATAGAAGATCAGGTGATCTTCTCATAGAAGACCAGGTGATCTTCTCATAGAATTTCAGACGATCTTCTCGTAGAATATCTAGCATTCTGACGTTCTCTTTTTCCAGATATCCTGATAGGCATTGGTTTGGGTATGACATATAAGGCTGCCATCTCCAAAGAGCTGCGGACAAATAAAAAGGTATCCAAATATATTTCCTCTCTCTCTCTCTCTCTGGCTCTCTGAACACAACTTAAGTTTCTCTCTCTCTCCCCGTCTCTCTAGAATGATGCCGAGGGAACAATGGGTGGAAATATAACCATATTTTCAATTATCGGTCTAATGCTGCTGATCTTTGCGGCCAGCTCCGCAAATTTCATTTTGCGTCGAAGCCTTGGCATTTTTATGATTTGCATTTATTTGATATTTTTGATTTTCACTTTTCTGGGCGAAATGGAAGCGATCCATCCATTTGGCAGTGATCATCGTATGGATATGAAATTGGAGGAATTGGATTGAGGTGGAAATTGGAAATAAATTGGGGGAGGATTAATCTATGAACTTACCCTCTTGTCGATGAGTTTGTCACAGACATTGAACACCGTCTTGATGGGATTCTTGTCCATGCGTATCGTTTTGCCATAGTAGGTCATGCGGCGACTGGTCTTGTATTTGGAGTTGAAATTAAGTTCCTGGAGGGAAAATTTTTGAAGGGAATTAATAAAAATTTGAAATGGGAGAAGGGAAGGAGGAAAGGACTTTAAAAGTTATTTAATTGGAACACCTAAAGAGTCCTCCATAAGAATGTTATTAGGGTCTTTTTTATCGAAGATCTTTTCCTTTAAATTACAGTCGATTTTGTCAACTTTCAAGAGATCTTCCCTAAGAGGACCTTAATAACATTCTTATGGGTGACTCAGTAGGTCCCCCATTTGAATACCTTTTAAGGTCCTATTCCGATTTTTACTGACTCACCGATATAACATCCACAAAGGTCTTATTGCTGATATAATCGGCCAGCACCCCGCCTACGTTGTAGGTCTCATCACTGGAATCATTGGCTTGAATGACAAGTGGGGCAAGTAGTAACAAAATATATACCGCCCAGGGTATATTCTTCCATAGGTCTTGATGTGGAGCCATGTTTTTTTTCCAGTATCTAATTCAAAACATTTTATCTAAAAAGAAAAAAAAAACAAAACTAGGTTGAATTGTAAGAGCTAACATAACCCTTAAAGACAATTCTTAAAATGTCCTTAAAAATATCCTCTAAAAAAGTAGAAGGTTTTGCACTGCTGGTCTTCGAGATTGTTTTGGGAACTTCGAGGACTGTTAACTTTGAGAATTTTTCCTTAAAATATTTTCATTTGCGGCCTTCAAAGGACCTTGAGAATTTTTCCTTCCACGTTTTTGACTCTGTATGTCCTTAAGAATTTTTCAATTAAAAATCTATGCGTGTCGGTTCTTGAGCATTTTTATTAAAAAATCCGCGTTAGTGGCACTGTGGGCCATTTTAAAGGTTTACTTTTAAAAATCAACGTTTGTAGCTCTGTGAGTCCTTGAGAATCGTTCAATGATTTTAATTCATTGTCCTTAAGAAATTTTTACTTCGCAAATTCACGTTGATGGCGCTGTGGGTTATTTGAAAATTTTCATTAAAAACTCTACATATTTGAGTGGGTAAGTTCTTGAGAATTTTTTATTTAAATATTCACTTTTTTTGGATGGGTAGTTCTTGAGAATTTTTTATTTTAATATCCACTTTTTTGACAATTGTCATTAAAAAGTATCCTCGTTTGGAGGTCCTTAACATTTTTTTTTTCGTTAGAAAATCAAGAATTTGTAATTAAAAATCCACATTTGAAGCTCTGTGGTACCTTGGGATTTTTCTTTAAAAATCTGCGTTTGGGAGACCTTGAGATTTTTTTCTTAAAGAATCCATGTTTGTGGGACCTTGAGAATTTTCCATCTTAAAAACCAGCTTTTGATCCAAATATTTGGCTCTGAGAGTCATTTGATACGACCAAAACGTGCCTCAAAGAAATAACGGGTTTAGACAAAATCCCTTTCGGAATATTGGAAGTCGATCTAGGGGTGTCCGTCCGCCTGTCTGGCTCACTATAACTCTCGAAGGGAGTATATGATATGGCCCAAACTTGGTACATCGTAATATTATTATCAAACTTAGATCGAGTTCGGAGACGGGCAATATCGGTCCACTCCTTCTGGTACCTCCCCCACAAAATGTCAAAACTTTCAAAGAAAATAATTTACTGCACAGAAAGAGAAAGGATATTCCAATTTTGCTTTTACTTTGCGAATCCTAATATTTTCATCAGTGTTAGGTCAGGTGCGAAAATGGACAATATCGGTGCACTCCATCAAGTACCTCCCCCACAAAGGGTCAAATTTTTGAATGATTATAACTCTTATAAAATATGATGTAAGCGTCCGACTGTCTTCAAATTAAACACATTGAAATATTTTTATTAACCCAAGATCTGGTGTGACGATGGAATATATCGGTCCACACCTTCTGGTACCTCCCCCACAAGAGGTAAAAATTGTCAAAAAAAAAGAAAAAAATATTTTCTGCACAGAAAGAGACGCAATAGTCCGATTTTGTTCCAACTTTGCAAATCTTAATATTTGCATCAGTTCTAGGTCAGGTGCGAAAATGGACAATATCGATGCACTCCATCAAGTACCTCCCCCACAATGTTTCAAAATTATGAATAATTATAACTCTTATAAAATGTGATGTAAGACTTCGATTGTCTTCAAATTACACACATTACAATATTTTCATGAACACAATATCTGGTGTGAAGATGGAATATATCGGTCCACTCCTTCTGGTACCTCCCCCACAAAGGGTTAAAATTTTGAATATTCGTGAAGCTCATAATACGCGAAATTAGTATCCGATTCCATTGAGACTTGACAAATCTCAATATTTCTAGCAGCAAAAGATCTGCTATAAAGCTGGAAGAGATCGAACCACTTCTTCCGGTACATCCCCCACAAAGGGTTCAAGATTTTGAATATCCATGAAGCTCATAAAACGCGAAATTAACATTCGATTCCATTCAGATTTGGTACATCTCAATATTTCTATCAGCACAAGATCTGCTATAAAGCTGGAAGAGATCGAACCATTTCTTCTGGTACCTCCCCCACAAAGGGCGAAAGTTTTGTATAACCTAAGCGATTATAAAATCCGAAATAAGCATCCTGTTCTCTTAATATTTCACACATCCCATTATTTCTACTAACACAAGATCAGCTGTGAAGATGGGATATATCGGTCCACTCCTTCTGGTACCTCCCCCACAAAGGGTCAACATTTTGAATATCTATGAAGCTCATAACACGCAAAATTAACATCCGATCCCATTCAGACTTAGTACATCTCAATATTTCTATCAGCACAAGATCTGCTATAAAGCTGGAAAAGATCGAACCATTTCTTCGGATACCTCCCCCACATAGGGTTAAAGATTTTGGAAAACATAACGCGAAATAAGCATCCAACTCTCTTTAAATTTCACACATACGAACATTTTTGCTAATACAAGATCTCTTGTGAAGATGATATATATCTTCGAAACCCTTCTGATACCCCACCCACAAAGGGTCACAATTTTCAATAATTTTATCTGTCATAACTTGAGAAAAAAGTCAGCGATTCTTTACAACTTGATATATCTAAATATTTCTCTCAACCAGAAATCTGAGATGACTATAGGATTTATGATTTTGCATAAAATTGGATATAAATGTTCGATTTTCTTGTATTTTTGCCCTACCATTATATTTATCTGTATTAGATGAGGTTTGAAAATGGAATACTTCGGTCGACTATATCTGGTACCTAACTCACATTTTAACATTTTCTAAAAATTATCACATATCTCATATAAAGTGAATGTAGTGGCACGTCGCAAAATTTGTATCATATTTATTTAGGTCCGATACGAAATAAACGATATTGGCCCATTCCTTCAGAACGTACTCCATAGAGGATCAACAATTTGAATAATCATAACAGAGGTCAAAATATATTTAACACTGGCTGAGGGAATACATCTGTCAGCAAAACCGACCGATACTTTTTAAATTGTTTTTTATCTATTTTCAATTTATATAAATAAATTATTCACATAAAATTAGAAATAAACGTTCAATTTTCCTTTAATTATTACAGATATCTTATAAAGTGAAGAAAGTAGTCGATATAGTCCAATTCTTTTAATATTTTTTACCATAAGTTGGATGTTTCTTGAAAAATATTTGTTAAAACTGCACAATTCAGCTATTTGATAACTCTTTTGATGTTGTTAAAGCATATCCCCCACAAATCCATACATTTAATTTACTTGGTAACCCTATCCTTTTGTTTGTTTACTGTTTTCTTCTTTGGCTACCTTTTTTTCTTGCTCCAAACCTCCCCACGTTTTTCAAAAAGAAATAAAAAAAACTAACAACAAACGATCGATCATCTGTTTTGTGAAAACAATGCATCTCAATCTCCCTCTCTTTTAACACAGAGTCTAGTACTCACACTCATTACCCCACCAAAACAAAAGCCTACTACTCTCATAAACAAACAATTCTCCCACCTTCATTTAACTCTTTTTTGTTTGGGGAGCATCAGTTATGGCTCTCCCCGAATGGTTGGTTGGCCACATGTTTATGTGTATGTACGCGTGAGCGAGTGTGGGGGTTTTGTGGTGGAGCTCTGGCTTAATAAACCAAGTCGTTGCCATAGACTCATTGGTACTCTCCGTTGAACGTCTTAAGCGAACACTTGTTGGATTCTAAAGAACGCAGTCGGCCGTCGGTTTCAGTGTTAAGCCCCACAAAAAAGAAAAGCAAAGCAAAAAATATTGCCCAAGAAAACAAGGCAACAAAAAGAAAGTGGAAATAATTGTTTTACAAATTTCTGGTGTTGAAACAAAATAAAAGTAATTGAAAATCTCCCAAGTGGGGAGTAGTTCTTTAAGAAAATTCGTATAATTTTGTGGGTGAAACATTGGGTAAAAAGAATTTCCAAAAAAATATAGAAAAATACCTTTTGTTTTAAAGCCACATAATTTTAATATTGAGTTTTTTTCTTTTTCAATCGCCTGGTCGGTTTCGTCGTGTCGGGTCTTAATACGTAGCAACAGTTTTTTTTTCTTTCCTCAGTCGTAGTCGTCGTCGTGTGTTTGCCTACCTTTTGTTGTTGCCGTTCGTGTTCTTGTGTTACCGACAGCACTAAACGTTGTCGTCGTCGCCGACGTTGTGGATATTGTTGTTTTTGTCTTTTTTCTGGCCCCATCGTCCGTGTAAGTTCAAGACAAAAAGCTGTGATCGGTTGTGACGGTGCCCGTTTTGATCGTGCCTTTTTCTAGAAGAAGTGGGTGAGGGAGAGATAGAGAGGGTGTGGATCACTCTGCCGTTTGGCTGAGTCTTACTCAGTCACAGGTTTCTTGTGTTGTTGTTTTTGTTACTACGTTTATTTTTGGGGCCGTGTTTGTTTTCAAGAGTGTACTCAGAGACAGAGAGAGAATGAATATGTGTGGCGCTGAGTGTGTGCGTCTCGGGTTTTGTGTAGTTATGACAGTGTTTTTGGTTTTGTTGTTGTTTTTGCCGCCTGTATGTAGATATTTTTTTTTCGTGTGGTGCTGCAGCCACGGCGGCTCAGATGCCTGCCTGCCTGACTTTTTGTGAATTGTATTGGGGGGTTTTGAGTGGACTGTTGTCATTGTTGTTATCTTTGTTATTGTTGTAACTATTTATTTGTGACAGGCTTGAGGTTTAATTTTGCATTCACTGCCGTAAAAAGCGGCGCTTGGAACAAAACAAAAACGAAAAAAAATATTGTAAAGGATTGCAAAGAGGGGTGGAGAATGTAACGCAAAATACAAATTGCAGTGAGGAAAATAAAAATAATAAAGCGATAAATTGTGGAGCATCATTAAATTCAAAATAAAACACCGGCATTACTAATGCATGCATTTTGAAAATGCATAACCAAACAAAACATTGCGTGTTATTTTTTGGCTGGACAAATCTATATGAATAAAAGAGCATTGAAAAAACTGACTGACCGACTGATAGATAAATAACGCGCAGACGAAACGACTGAAGCTGGAATTTTGCACTAGGGTGAGACAAGGCTGTGTCTTTGGAAATTCGTACTAAAAGGGTACGAAAGGTGCTAAATAATGTAATACTTCCTATTGGACAAGCATAATGAGCTAGTAATTTGAAATTAGAGTTATTTTTAGAGGCGCCAAAAGGTTTTTGGAAATTTTAACTTGAGGTTCTGAAAAATTTAAAAATGGTACTTAACTTTAAAAATGGTTCAATTTGGTATTATGGGAACGGTTAGAGCTTAAAACTTGAAATTTGGTACGAAATTTAAGGTTGGAAAGTTTAGTTTTAGTTTTATAAAGCTGGAATTTGGAAATTTTGTATTGGGGACCCTGTTGGTGGTAGGCTTGTGTGATAAAGAGGTTATTTTGGATGTGTGTACCACAAGTGCATAAGAAGTACTAAATAGTACTATATTTGGTCCAATTTGGTTTTGGATAAGCAAATAGTGCTAGAAATCTGAAATTTGGTGTAGCCTGGACATTTGGATGAGGTTCCGGAAATGTGTACTATAATTGTAAAAAAAGTACTAATGGGACCATATTGGGTATTGGGCGAAGGGATAAAGATAAAATCCTGAAATTTGATATTAAGATTACTGATAGTTACTGATGATAGTTTGAGATTTGGCGGTGGTTTGGAAATGCGTTCCATATTTGTACGAAAAAGTACTAAATAGTACTAAATTTGGTATTGGCATTTTTATAGGAAATTTCGGCATTCTTATAGGAAATGTTGTCGAAATTGCATTTTTATGGGAAATTTCGTCGAAATTGTATCTTTTAGGAAAACTTCGTCGAAATTGCATTTTCATGGGAAAGTTCGTCGAAAATGCATTCTTCGTCAAAATTGAATTTCCATAGATAATTTTGACGAAATTGAATATCCATAGGAAATTTCGTCGAAATTGAATTCCCTTAAATAAAATTCGTCGAAATTGAATGCCTATGGAAACTTTCGACGAAATTGAATTCCTATGGGAAATTTCGTCGAAATTGAGTTCTCATGGGAAATTTTGACAAAATTGAATTCCCATAGGAGATTCCGTCGAAATCGAATTTATTTAGGAAATCTTGTCGAAATTGAATTCGTTTAGGAAATTACGTCGAAATCGACATCTTATAGAAAATATCATCAAAATTAAATTCCTTATAGGAAATTTCGTCGAAATTGCATTCCAATAGGAAATTTGGTCGAAAGTTCGTCGAAAATGCATTCTTACGGGAAATTTCGTCGAAATTGCTTCTTTTGGGGAAATTATGTCGAAAAGGAATTCCCATAGGAAATTTCAACGAAATCAAATTCCTATAGGAAATTTCGTCGAAATTGAGTTCTCATGGGAAATTTTGACAAAATTGTATTCCCATAAGAAATTTCGACGAAATCTAATTCCTATAGGAGATTCCGTCGAAATTGAATTCCTTTAGGAAATCTTGTCGAAATTGAATTCGTTTCTTTCGTCGAAATTGACATCTTATAGAAAATATCATCAAAATTAAATTCCTTATAGGAAATTTCGTCGAAATTGCATTCCAATAGGAAATTTGTTCAAAATTAATTGCCTATAGGAAATTTCGTCGAAATTGAGTTCCTATAGAAAATTTTGTCGAAATTGAATTCCTTTAATTATGTCGAAGTTGAGTTCTTATAGAAAATTTCGTCGAAATTGCACTCTTATAAGAAATGTCGACGAAATTGCATTCCTATAGGAAATTTCGTCGAAATTGAATTCCTATAGGAAATTTCGTCGAAATTGAATTCCTATAGGAAATGTCGTCGAAATTGAATTTTTATAGGAAATTTCTTCGAAATTGAATTCCTGTAGGAATTTTCGTCGAAATTGAATTCCTGTAGGAAATTTCGTCGAAATTGAATTCCTGTAGGAAATTTCGTCGAAATTGAATTCCGGTAGGAAATTTCGTCGAAATTGAATTCCTGTAGGAAATTTCGTCGAAATTGAATTCCCTTAAAAAAAAAAAATTCGTCGAAATTTAATGCCTATGGAAACTTTCAACGAAATTGAATTCCTATGGGAAATTTTGACAAAATTGAATTCCCATAGGAGATTCCGTCGAAATCGAATTCCTTTAGGAAATCTGGTCGAAATTGAATTCGTTTAGAAAATTACGCCGAAATCGACATCTTATAAAAAATTCCTTATAGGAAATTTTGTCGAATGAATTCTCATAGGAAATTTCGTCAAAATTAATTGCCCATAGGAAATATCGTCGAAATTGCATCTTTTGGGGAATTTATGTCGAAATTGAATTCTTATCGGAAATGTAGACAAAATTGAATTCCTTTAGGAAATTTCGACGACATTGAATTGAATAGGAAATTTCGCCAAAATTGCATTTTTAGGGAAATTTCGTCGGAATTGCATCTTTTAAAGAAATTTCGTCCAAATTGAATTCACATCGCAAATGTAGACAAAATTGAATTGCTATAGGAAATTTCGTCGAAATTGAATTCCCATAGGAAATTTCGTCGAAATTGTGTTCCCATAGGAAATTTCGTCGAAATTGAATTCGTTTAGGACATTTCGACGAAATTGAATTACCATAGGAAATTTCGCCGAAACTGAATTGTTAATGGGAATTTCGTCAAAATTAAATTCCCATAGGAAATTTCGTCGAATTGTATTACCATAGGAATTTTTGCCGAATAACATTTCTTTAGGAAATTTTGGCGAAATTAAATTCCCATGGAAATTTCGACGAAATTGAATTCCCAAATGAAATTTCGTCGAAATTGAATTCCCATAGGAAGTTTCGTCGAACTTGAACTCCCATAGGAAATTTCGTCGAAATTGAATTCCCATAGGAAATTTCGTCGAAATTGAATTTCCATAGGAAATTTGGTACAAATTGAATTCATACAGAAAATTTCGTCGAAATTGAATTTCCATGGGAAATTTCGTCAAAATTGACTGCCTATAGAAAATTTCGTCGAAATTGAATGTCTATAGGAAATTTTGTCGAAATTGAGTTCTTTTAGGAATTTTCGTCGAAATTAACTTCTTGTAGGAAATTTCGTCGAAATTGACTTCTTTAAGGAAAATTCGTCGAAATTGAATTCTTTTAGGAAATTTCGTTGAAATTAATTTTGTTAGGAAATTTCGTCGAAATTGACTTCTTTTAGGAAATTTCGTCAAAATTGATTTCTGTTAGGAAATTTCGTCAAAATTGACTTCTCATAGCATATTTCGTCGAAATCGATTCCTATAGGAAATTTCGATTCCTATATGAAATTTCTTCGAAATTAAATTATTTTTTTTCCATTTCCACCCACTGTGCCACAACAAAAATTTGTCAACTTAAGACACGCTAAAACATCCACAAAATGGATAATATCTAAATAAAAAATAATAATATCTTTAAATGTATCTTCAGAATATTGTGTGAGTGATACAAAAAAAAAAAAAAAAAAAGCAACAACAAAAAGAGCAACAACATCAATAAATAAATAAAAAAATAAATTATAATAAGCAAAAGTGAAAATTGTTAATAAAACAAAAGTAAAGTGTTAAACAAATAAATAAATCATTAGTAAAGTCAAGTCGAGCACCCCACCCCTGGATCTTATCATTTTTAACGAAGCGGTTTCAACGGAACTGTGTTTGCCGCCAAATTTACAAAGAGCAACCGAGCGAGTCGTAAATCTTGGGAGAGCGTTGTTGGCGGAATTTTCCTGTTTGTACAACTATTAAAGGTAAGTTGAGGGGAATTTAATGCACACCTTCAATAACCAACCCTACGAAATTGAGATATTTGAGAAATTCCACTGAATTGTGGCGCCCCCTTCCCCATTCATCAATAAAATCAATGTTTTCCCATTAATTGTGCCCATAAAAAATACCATTCCAATACCATACCATGATCTATTTTTTTTCCATCTACCAATTACCTATAAATAAAAACCAAGAAAAAGAAAACAATCTTAAATAAGTTATTTCTGTTTTTCATGATCGCATTTGCTTTGAAAAAAATATATATCCATCATTGTCAATCATCATCCAGCAATTAATCTGGTTACTGCCTCGCCTGACCATTTTTCTGTCTGCCGCCAGTTCAAAAGTTCAATGGATATTATGAACCAATCGATTTCAATTGATTTGATGACTTGCATTGTGGGGCGGCAAATCTCCAAACCATTTAGAATCTGATATTCGATTCAATCAATTGTCAACTCTCCCTGATCTCGTGATCTTATTCTTCCCCTCTCTCAGTCTCTCTTTCTCTGTTAGTCCATTCATTTAACGGTGAACGGGTATTAAATATCATTTAATTGATATTTATTCCACACGAGGGAGGGTTTTTTTCTCGGAGAAACAAAATATACAGTGAAGAGCAAAAGTGTGGGGCAGCGATGTCTGCAGAAATGTATTTCATAAACATTTTGGTGGGAGGAGGAATGTCAATAATTAAAAATTGATTTCTCATGTAAAAAATATACGAAAAATTACAGAAAAGTAATGAAGGGGTCTCGCGTGCCATTGCTCCGCCGGCGTACGTCCCTAGTTGAGAGGATCTCTGAGATTGTACCAAAATCACTCGGGATTTTCTGTTTCTCACTGATTTTCTGACCTGACCACGAAAAACGGCCTAACCAAAAACCATGAGATTTGGTATGAAGTTCATTGATTTACTTGAGGGGTGAGATAAGACTTCATTTTTCCCCAAATCGTATCTAAAGAGTAAAAAAAGCACACAAATGTAAAAAAACAGTAAAGAAAGTCTTAAAATCGGGCGGGACCGACTATATGATACCCTACACCACTTTGCATATTTCGTAGAGCTCTCGTAACGAAAGAATTTATTTCAAGTAGATCATACCACCTTTAAACATTTGGCTTTAGAGAAGTTATAGTTTGTTATAGAGTGCATGACATACTTGGAGGAGGATTATATTAAAAAATATGTATATATCGGAGCCGAGTTGCACAAAATGGAAAGGTACGTCCGGAAGTTCACTCCATTTGGACTGATATTAGACATTATTTGTACAATAAACCCGAAATAGGTTGAAGTTATATATGGGAGCTATATCCACATCTTAGCTCGATAAATTTTGGCAAAGATATTTTCGAGCTTTATAAGATATCTGGTAACAAATATTATAGTTGTCGAATGCATATTACGAATGTGAGAAACTTAAACACCAAATCGGATAAAACATATATTTCGGAGCTATAGCTACATCTAAACCGATTTTCCCGAATTCGATGTACTTGCTTCTTGACTGAATTCGGTCGGATGTACAAAAATTCAGGACTTTTTACCAGATATTAGCCATTTGGTGCACAACTAACCCGAAATCGGTTGACGATATATCTGGGACCTATATCCAAATCTGAACCTATGTTAATAAAATTTTGCAGAGGTATTTCCGAGCTCTATAAGATATTTGGTACCAAAGCTCATTGTTGTCGAATGCATATTACGAATGTGAGGGACTTAAACACCAAATCGGATGAAACATATATATGGGAGCTATAGCTATATCTAAACCGATCTTCTCCAAATTTGATGTACCTGCTTCTAGACTGAATTCGGTCGGATGGACTGATATTGGCCATTTGGTGCACGATTAACCTGAAATTGGTTGAGGATATATTTGCGAGCCATATCCAAATCTGAACCGATCTTGATAAAAGTTTGCAGAGGTATTTCCGAGCTCTGTAAGATATCTGGTACCAAATATCATTGTTATCGAATGCATATTACGAATGTGAAGGACTTAAACACCAAATCGGATGAAACATATATATGAGCTAAAACGATTTTCTTCGAATTTAATGTACTTGCTTCTAGACTGAATTCGGTCGAATGTCCAAAAATTCAGGATTTTTTGACAGATATTAGCCATTTGGTGCACAACTAACCCGAAATCGGTTGAAGATATATCTGGGACCTATACCCAAATCTGAACCTATCTTAATAAAATTTTGCAGAGGTATTTCCGAGCTCTATAAGATATCTGCTACCAAATATCATTGTTGTCGAAGGTATATAACGAATTTGAGGGACTTAAACACCAAATCGGATGAAACATATATATGAGCTAAACCGATTTTCTTCGAATTCAATGTACTTACTTCTAAACTGAATTCGGTCGGATGTACCGAGATTCAGGACTTTTGGACTGATTGGCATTTGGTGCACAATTTACCCGAAATCAGTTGAGGATATATTTGGGAGCCATGTCCAAATCTGAACTAATCTTGACAAAATTCAGAGCTATATCTGATATCTGGTACCAAAGATCATTGTTGTGGAATGCATATTACGCTTGTGAGGGGCTTTAAATCCCAAATCGGATAAAACATATATATGGGAGCTATAGCTATATCTGAACCGATTTACACCAAGTCTGAAGTACTGATTTCTAGGATGAATTCAGTAATAATTGCCAAAATTCAGTTTATTTGGGCCGATATTAGCCATTTGGTTCTAAATAAACCTAATATCGGATAAAGATATATTTGGGAGCTATATCCTAATCTGATCCGATCTCGATAAAATTTGACAAAGGTATTTTCGAGCATTATCTGATGTCCGGTATCAAATATCATTCTTTTGAAGTGCATATTACACATGTGGGATGTACCAAAATACAGGTCATTTGGACTTATATTAGCCATTTGGTAAATTTTGAAAATCGAAGATATATGGAAGCTATATCTAAATCTGATCCGATTATCATCAATTTCAATAGGGTTCGTCTTTGGGCCAAACAAATATTGTTTGCAAAATTTCATCTCAATCGGATAATAAATGCGACCTGCATTTTGTTCACAAGAATACATGGTCAGACGGACTGACATACATAAATCGACTCAGAATGGGATTCTGTGCAGATCATAAAAAGGAACTATGGGTCTATCTCGCTTCCTTTTTCATGTTACAAACAAATGTACAAAGATACAATAATCCTTACTACTATGTGGTGTAGGGCATAAAAACAATTAAAAAAGCACTAAGTTGGGCAAAATCTTAAAAATGCCGAATATAGCCATTATATTGGGGTCTATACGAAGACGTGGACCTGCATAGACAACTTTTGTCATAAGACAATACAATATTTAAATACGAAACTTGAAAAAAAAAAACGGTGAATAATGAAGCTAAAATCATCAAAATACCGAATATAGGGAGGTACTGTCCTATCCGGGCTATACGAAGACCTAGACCTTCATGGACATTTTTTTGTCATAGGCTGTAGTACCTACTAGTGGATAATGTCCCTAAAATCGTCAAATACCGAATATAGGGAGGTACTGATATATATATATGATATGAAAAAACTGCAGCCAACTTTAGACTGCTGTCATATCTAAGCCACTCGTCCGACAGCTGTTAAAATTATTCCAGTCATAGCTCATTATATTGTTTACAAGCGTACAAAAGCATTTTGGTGAGCATTTTCCGGAACAAAAGTTATTCGTGATGGAATTCAAGCGTAATAGTGTAATTTCTTTATATTTGGCTGGAAACCCGCAAGTGGCTATCGTTAGAGCACTTCAGCATATAAATGTGAATAAATCTTTTGTGTCGCTCGTTACCGGTACCGGATACTGGTAGCATAGCCCGACATTAAGGAAGTGGACGGAAGAAAACAGCAACATCAACAGAAATGGTTCGAAAGTAAAGAAGCGACTTGATCGAAATCCGCGTCGCAGTGGCCAAAAAATGGCTTGTGAGCTGAACATATCGCAATATTCCATTCGGCAAATGTTGAAAAATGAGCTCGGGGCAAGGCCATTTAAATTCCAAAAAGTGCAAGAACTTACACTGCAAAAGAAAGAGAACAGAAAATAGACTCAAAAGAGCTAAAGAGTTGCTTCGCTTGGCCCAAAAGTGGTGAACTGCCGACTTTGGTTTTCTCCTATCTCCGATGAGAAAACATTCGTTGTCAAGCAGTTTGTAAACAAAAAAAATAAAAATTGATCGTGTTTACTTGTCATCAAGAGGTCAGCTGAAATTGTGCACCTTCGGTTGGCCACCAGAACCCAAGCGTCGGCCATGGTGATGGTGTGGGCCGCCATAACAGCCAATGGTCGTTCTCCACTCCGCTCGTATTAATCGAACGTGACATCAGAACAAATGCCGAATATTATCGCGAAAATATTCTGGAAAGTGTATTAAAGCACGCAAACATTTTGACCGCAGACATTCCAACAGGACTCAGCCACCCAAGAATGGTTACAAAATGAGGTTTCTCGCTTCATTGTCAGAGCACAATGACCACCAAAATCTCCGGATACCAATCCATTGGACTATTGTGTCTGGAGTATTTTTGAAAGCAAGGTTGACACTACAAATACCAAAGTGTCGATCACCACAAGCCAGCGCTTCGCGGGGAATGGGCTAAAATACCGCAAGGCATCATTCGGGCAGCTCGTGACGGTTTCATTGGCCGTTTGAAGGCCATAATTTGTGTCAAAGATGACCAACTCGAAAAAATCTAAACTTATTCTAAAATGTAATGCTATTTCCGACTTATTTTGCTTTCATTCAATAAAATTTAAAAAAAAAAAAACGTTTCCATCGACACAAGATCTGTTATGAAGATGGTACGGATCGGACCTCTCCTTTTGGTACCTCCCCCACATAGGGTTCAAGATTTTGGAAAGCAAAACGCTCAAAGAAAGTGAAATAAGCATCGAGCTCTTTTCAAATTGCACAAGTCCAAATATTTTTTGTTACATA